TGAGCGTCTTTGGGTGGAAAGATGTTGGTTCCACATTGTTTTTCCACATTGTTTTTCAGCAGGAGAACAACTGCCAGAATCCAACATTATCCAATGAGTGGTTCCATGCGTCCAGTTTTTGGCTTTACCCTCTGGTAAACAAACATAGCTATTGAAAATGGCAACTTATAGTGGATTTACCCATTCAAAATTGTGATTTTCCATAGCTATGTAAACGTTTACCAGGTCGGGTAATCAACTTGGTCAAGTAGGGGTCGTCAAGTTTTGATCACCTCAATGAATGGACGACGTGACTTCAACGAACGGCCCCAGGTTCTGGAGCTGTGCTTAGTAATGGAACATAGTGCAAGATGTGCAATACATGCTTTCTCAGTTTACCATATCTTTATAACATAGTAATGATTATCAAGATATGTTTTCTCAGTTTAGCATATCTTATAACATATAGCTGATTAAAGATATGCTTTCTCATTGCCGGGTTATACCACATTTTTTCTCCCCAGCTATAGCTACATCATGTCACATTGATTGCATATCCTCATGGCTTGATGGTCAACAATATCCCCAAAACGGCCTACTCCCCGTTGGGCGGGTCTGTCTTAAAATGAGGATTACCTGCAGATTTGTTTGCAATTTTCATGGGGAATTTCTTGTCAAAAAAAACATTGGATTTTGGCCGTAGTCCATTTCTTGTTTCCATAGACTTCACCCTCCAAAGGTGTGACTCGGCTGCCCTGATTCTCTGCCTGTTTTTTGAGGTATATACACTATGCCAAGTTTAGACAAACCCAGTTTGATGATTTTTAATCGCAGGATTATCGAAGGAAGTTTAGAAGTCAAACTTCCGACAATATGGACAGATGAAAAGCAGAGCAGGGCAGAGGCAGAGAGAAGAGACAGATTAGAAGAGAGAAGATCAGAGAAGAGAAAGAGTCAGAAGAAAGACGATGCAGATGCGCGAAAAGGTAGGAAAGTCGCGAAACACTGTGTTTTTCCAATGATTTGTGGCTCCGGAGGGTCGAAAAGTAGGCTTGCTAAAGCGGCGGGTGCGGAGCCAGCTGGCCAGACGAGAGATGAAAAATTGCACGCCGTTGTGGCGCGAAGCACATTTCCAAGTCAAAATGTACAAAACACACCATGGTCGGACCACTTTTGGAAGTTGAGATGTCGAAAAAGTGCACGCCGTTGTGGCGCGAAGCACATTTCCAAGTCAAAATGTACAAAACACACCATTCTCGGACCACTTTTGGAAGTTGAGATGTCGAAAAAGTGCACGCCGTTGTGGCGCGAAGCAAATTTCAAGTCAAAATGTACAAAACACACCATTCTCGGACCACTTTTGGAAGTTGAGATGTTGAAAAAGTGCACGCCGTTGTGGCGCGAAGCACATTTCCAAGTCAAAAGTGTCAAAAACTGACGGTCTCGGACCACTTTTGGAGGTTCAGATGTCGAAAAAGTGTCGAAAAAGTGCACGCCGTTGTGGCGCGAAGCACATTTCGAAGTTAAAAGTGTAAAAATCAGACTGAGGGTTTTGAGCCTTTTTTGACGTGAAGATGTCGAAAAAGTAGACACTGATTAACTTAACTAACTTGACTAACTTAACTAACTTCACTAACTTAACTACCCTAACCTCGACGACAACAGCAACAGCAACAACAACAACAACACCAACCACAACAACTACAACTACAACAACAATAGATCGATACATGGAGAGATAGATAGATAGATAGATAGATTAGATTAGATTAGATTAGATTAGACTAGACTAGATTAGATTAGATTAGATAGATAGATAGATAGATAGTCAGACAGGTAGACAGCTAGACAGATAGATAGATGAAAGAGAGAGAGAGAGATAGATAGATAGATAGATAGATGGATGGATAGATAGATAGATAGATCGATAGATAGATAGATACATAGAAGATAGGCTGGTAGGTAAGTAGATAGTCAGAGAAAGAGAGAGAGAAAGAGAGGAGACCTCAAGCACCTTTCGGTCCATCAGTGGCTTCCCTCTGCCATCCCTCATTCACAACAACCAAGCTCTCCTATAGGTTTCCTATTTTTGAAACTTCCGCCACCGCCTTGTGCGGTACTACTGGTACGTTTGATTGATTGCATATCCTGTTAATTCAAAGCATATCCGATGATCATATCCCAGTGTTTCTGAACAAATATCCTCATTTTGCTTCATGCTTACCCAATCATATCATATCAATATTAGTTAGGTCCCATTCCATCCAATATTTGTTGGTTCGATAGATCCCCAGTTCTAGATGATTACTGTAGCCGAGCCTACACACCATTGATTCAAATTTGCGCGTTGGCTGAACCTTTGCTCCCAATTGAACAGGATGCCATCTTCCCTGGATACTTAGCTCCCCCAAAATCCATGGCCAACCTAAAAGAGCAGTCTTTGAAACCCTCCACGTCGTCCCAACTGGCTGGTGGAGAACGGAGTTCCGGGTTGATGGACTGTGCTCATACCAAATGCATTAGATGGTATAATCAACACAGAATAGCAACCCCCGATATACGTTGGTTGATAATATCCATTATATACGTATAGATGTAACCACCATATGGTCACCATAAAGCCTATTTACTGGAGTTATAAACAAATTTAGCCATCATAAAAATCAGCTATAAATCCCATGAAATCCCAATTTTCCTATGGTTTCCTAGGGTTTCCTCAGCTATCTTGGGGTACCGGCCTGCAGGGGCTTCATTTAAGGTAACCAAGGCTCCAAAATCCACGGCAAGCGCGCCGGTGCCGCGCTGGCACCGCAGCTGCTACTGGCATGATGGAGGGCCAGCACAGAGGGGTCCTTCATCTCGTCCTTGGACCAGAAAAGAACACCTATATATATATGTATATTGTATCAGATATTATATGAGACATTATACTAGATATTTTGTATATCAACTATTATTTTGGATATCATATTATATAGTATTTTAGATATTATAATATGTTCAGTATTGTGTCATATATTGTATGTTAAAGACTCTATTCAATATGTGCATTAAATAGTGTATATTATTGTAAATTATATTATATATCATATAATATTATGTTCTACTATATCATATTATATATAGTGTAATATATCAAAAATAGTATATCATATAATATATTATCATATACTAATATACTATTTTAGATAGTATAATGTATATCATCATATTTACTTATATATATATATTATAAATTTCATTATCTTTTCTATACAAGAACTCAACATGATTTTCAGCAACAAGAATGATCATATTGAGCATTGAAGTATAATAATGTATCATATCCAATCCTGTGTGGGATATGTTCGTGTATTGGAAGGTGTAACTCTTTTTCGCCGCAGCAGTGAAAAAGAATCAGCTCCTCAGCTCCGACGGACAGTTACAGAAAAGCCTGAGAGTTCACCATAGATGGTACTCAAGTCATGCTGTCCCTTTAGAATTTGAAATCATATACAATATGATAAGTAATATGATACATAATATGATATAGTAGAATATAATATTATGATATATGATATTTTATGATAAGGGGATGATTTACAACCAAAGGATCCTACTAGGCCTACGATCCAAATCGCTAAATCATCCAAGATTATTGATCAATTTGAAGCCGTCCCTTCAGAATCCCTTCCCCCATATGGAAAACAGCCCCCATAATGCCATAAACCATGTTTTGCTGGGGAATTTATTCATATTTCGGACCATAGAATGGAGGTGATTTATCATGAACCGGGGATGGGGATTTAACCCATTGAGGGATGTGGATGCTGCCAACCCGCTTACTAACCAGTTACAAGTAGCTAAATCCCATGGCCCATTGAAATACATTTGGATCATTCATGCTTGCATGTGCATCCCACTTAGTAGGTGGTTTAAAATTCATATACAACCCATATTTCATCCCATATATTAGGGGATATTCCACATATATATATAATTATAAATATATAGCTATATATATATATGGGGGTATAACTGATTTACTAAGTAGGGCCCACACCCCCAAGTGGGGTAAATGTTGGCAAAAAATCCAGCAGCAGACGGACATAAAAATTGTCTAAGTGGCCAGAAGGTGGAAACTCAATGGCCAAGGAAGGTCCAAACCTCCACGACCAGGGCTGACATTTTTTGTTTTTTTTTGGGGAACAAAAAAGCGACGTTAATTAAAACTATCAACAAGCCCAGGTGGTATCCCTAGGAGCAAAAGCTGATAGCAAAGCGTGACAGCAACCAGTGAACACTGTGAACACCATTCCAGTTTCTAGACGGAAAACTGCACCGAACCTCTGTCTGTCTATGCTGAGACGCCTAGCCTATAGAGCCAACGCTGTGAGCAAAAACATGAAAAAACAACCAGTCAAGTTGAACCTTCAGTCTAAGTCTTAAGTTCATTGGATATACCCTCTGGTGAACTAACATAGCAATTGAAAATGGCCATTTATAGTGGATTTTCCCATTGAAAATGGTAATTTTCCATTCCTATGTTAGTTCACCAGAGGGTATTGGCAAATGTTGAGATATATTGGGACAAAATTACGGCCAAGGTTTTCTACCCAACAGCAGGCGCCAGGGTTCGAGGCTTCCAAGCTGGAACCTGCTGTTGAGAATATCCAACTTGTGGTTCGGAAGGTTGATGATTGAAATAAACCCATTGATTCATCCCACTCAGAATTTACCAAACATAGCTTAATCCTGCTGAAAATCATGCTTAGTCATTATTTTCCCATGAAAATACATGACCATGGCCAAATTTAGGGCTTCAAAGACTTCCTGGTTGGTGGTATACCTACCCCTCTGAAAAACTACTCTGAAAAATATGAGTTCATCACTTGAGATGATGACATTCCCAATATATGGAAAGTCATAAAAATCACGTTCGTCATCGTCATCGTCATCATCATCATCATCATCACCATCACCATCATCATCACCATCACCATCACCATCACCATTGCCATTTTTTTGGGGCTTCAAAGACTTCAAAGATGTGGAAAAATCATGAAAAATCCCACCATGATCGAAGCCATATCCGTTGGATCCTGGGCACCTGCCCGCAGCAGCGCGCGCTTGGACACCGCGTCGCCGCTCCCGCCGCACTGGCGCAACACCTGCAGCTGCTGAAGGCCAAGGTGCCAGGACCTGTCGAGCGCTCGGCGATTTTGGGGGGAATCGCCATGGAAAAAAGCCATGGATTTTGTTGATTACCCGGCCTGGTCAACTACCAGTTTGCGAACTTGGAAATTGCCATAGAAATAGTGAGTTTTCCATTAAAAATGGTGATTTTCCATAGTTATGTTGATTTAAACCCATCAAAACCCATGGAAAATTGGTGATTTTATGGTGGCTGAATGGTGATCTAATGGGATTTACCCTCTGGTAATTTGTTACATAGCACTTGAAAAGGGCCCACTTATAGTTGATTTACCTAATAATGATGGTGATTTTCCAGTTCGCTATGATGGTTTACCAGAGGTCAAACCCATAAAAAACCCATGAACTGAAAAACATGGGATAAAAAATAGGTCTTCTATGGGGAAACCCTATGAATGACCATAAAACTATAGGGATTTAAGTTGATTTAACCATTAATGAAACAGGGTGGATATGAAAAATGTATGGGATATAAACCATGTATATTTCAACCAAGAAATTCTTGGGTATGATTTTTCAGCATGAAAAATGGTGGATTCAACTGGTTTAATCTTAAAAGAATAGGTGTTCAACCATATCTAATCTAACCATTGAATCATGGATTTGAGTTTGTTTTGAAAATGTGGAAAGTTGGACTTCGACTTCAATCATGTCTCCCTTCTTTAATGATAAAATCACCATTAAAAAAAGATATATGTGATGTCTGGTGTAGTACTGTACTGGATCTATTCATCATTTGGTCCCGTCAGTTTAATCGCAGCGCCTCCGTTGAACGTAGGCGGAGATCAAACCATTGAAGCTGAAGAGGTCGGCTTGGACGCTGACGTCTCTCATCTGCCTGCGGCTTCGGTCCTTCGGTCTGGCATTCTCGGGGATAAAACATGAAAAAACATGATACCATCTGGTTATGACTAACATAGCCATGGAAAATCCCTTATAAATGGAGGTTTCTAGCTGGGAAAATCATCTATAAATGGGCCATTTTCCATGGCTTTGTTAAATAACCAGATGGTAAAACATGATGAAACGGAGGGTCAATGGGATTCACATGGAGTTTTTCAATAGCAGGTGATCTCATGAGTGTGAAAAGCGGGCCATACGGCTTTGTCGATGGATGATGGGCCCCTAATTATGGCTATGTGAACGGAAAAACTGGTGGTAAGCCCAAGGATTTCGGGGGGATCCGAAATTTGAGACAACTAGTACAGTTGGTATATGTGGGAGCCATCCCAAAACAACAAATCGTTCAGAAAGATCTTATTAGATCTTATTAGCATATACTAAGCCATACACTACATCCCAATTGCTTTTTGTTGATCCATGTAGGTTAAACATCCAATCGTTGGGTTCACTATGGTTGAATCCCTCGTGGTTGTTGTGATATCTCCCTCCGCATACCAGCTGGTTATTCAACATAGCCATGGTATAGATGGCCCATAGAAATAGATGGTTTACCGTTCTTAATAGCATGGTGGATCTTTCCATGGCTATCTCAAAAATTACTTTACTTCGTGTGATCCCCACCATGACATTTATACATTTTCTTACTGGCAAATCTTCTGGCATTCTATCTGACATATCTTCTGACATTCTATTTGGCATTCTATCTGGCATATCTTCTGGCATATGATCTGGCATATCTTCTGGCATATCTTCTGGCATTCTATCTGGCAAATCTTCTGGCATTCTATCTGGCATATCTTCTGGCACTCTATCTGACATATCTTCTGGCATTCAATCTGGCATTCTATCTGGCATATCTTCTGGCATATATTCTGACATATCTTCTGGCATTCTATCTGACATATCTTCTGGCAGATATTCTGACATATCTTCTGGCATATCTTCTGGCATATCTTCTGGCATATCTTCTGACATATCTATCTGGCATATCTTCTGGCATTCTATCTGGCATATCTTCTGGCAAATCTTCTGGCATTCTATCTGGAATTCTATCTGGCATATCTTCTGGCATATAATCTGGCATTCTATTGCGGCATATCTTTCTGACATTCTTTCATTGACATTCTTTCTAACTTTCTTCTGCACATTCTTTGTCCCATATTCTTCCTTACATGAGGTCCGGCAGGGAACACTTGCGTGGATACTGCGGTTGAGGTCCGGCAGGGGAAACACTGGGCGTGGATGGGTGGTTTGAGGTTCCGCAGGGGAAACATGGCGAGGATGGTCGTGGTGAGTCCGGCAGGAACACTGGGGTGGATGGTCGTGGTTGGGTCCGGCAGGCAAACAACTGGGCGAGGATGGTCGTGGTTGGGTCCGCAGGGAACATGGGGTGGATGGTCGTGGTGAGGTCCGGCAGAGCAGAGAACACTGTTGATCGCGGGGTCGAGTTGAAGCAAGGACGACGAGGACGACGAGGACGACGAGGACGACGAGGACGACGAGGAGGACGAGGAGGAGGAGAGGAGGACGAGGCAGGAGGAGGCGGAGGAGGAGGAGGAGAAGGAGGAGAAGGAGGAGAAGGAGGAGGAGGAGGCAACTGACATAAAATCTAACAACCCTCACCTGGCAGGTGGGGAATAAATGGTGATGTTCCATTGATAGCATGGTGATATTTTCCATAGAAATAGACGGTTTACCTATATTAAATAACCACATTGGTACCATGATTTCCCGGATTTCCCCCCATGTTCCCCAGGTTTTGTCGCCTCACGAGTCCCACGGCCGGGCGGAGGGCTTGGCCATTGCACAAGGCACTCAGCAGGCCGTTGAAAGAGACCAAGTCGGACTTCAAGCGCCTGAAGTCACTGGATGACTATAGATATACCTTAGATATATCTTTAATCTGTTGGTAGATATACAATGATATACATATTAGTCTGCAAATATATTGTATTAATTATATATGTGAAATTATATATTCATCAGTATCTAGATGAGATTATATATGAAATTAGGAGTATATTATAAGCTCTATTAGTATATCTATGTCTGTCAGCATATATACACATATCATATAATTCCATTTTATTTGAATATAGGAAGACAGAAATCTTGTTGGATATTATTAAAATCTACAGAATACATCAGAATACGGTATCATTGCATAGCAAACCCCAAAAAACATATTGGTAGAATAGTATTTTGTCACTATTTCAGTTAGCTTTTAGGTTTCCTTCTTTCGGGGGGATATCATATTCTACATGAAGGATCTAGCTATGGCTGTGGCTATGGACTACTGTGTGTGCTACATACGACATCTGTGGAGCCCCATCCAATACATGTCTGTATGAGCTCCATGCAATACCAGTGAATATTGGATGTGTAGGCAGTTGGAAACAGGAACTCGTCAATTTCTGACCCCTCACAAGGTACACTTGTGAGACATAGTGTATGTGTAGATATCGCGTTCCTTTGGAACTGGAAACTTGGTAAGCAGTGTCATCAAACAAGTTCAACATGTTGTGTGACAGTGTATGTCTAGATGTTGCAAGGGAAGAAATGACCACACAAACAAGGTGTATCAGAACATCAGCCACATACAGTATAGAGATTGATGTGTTCACATCAAAAAAAGAAACTCGGTATGTAAGTGTGCTTGTCTTCAAACTTTGAAAGGATTTGAATTTCAAACATCTAGTGTAGTGCCGAAAGTGGTTTTGGTTTTGGACTAAACAGAGCCATTTCTAGGCCTATTGGGTTGAAACACCCCCCCAACCTGTGTCATGGGTACCATCCCTGCCTCAAAATGCTCAGGTCGAAGAGATCCAAAGATGCTTCCTGATGCGATGAACAAGTGTCAATGACCATTTCAGGAACCGATTGAGGACGGAGGTACCTACCATATATAAGGCCGAAAAATAAGGCCTAAATTTAAGGGGAATATCACGTTTACGTACCTCCATCTGTTGGATCCTGGAGATCTCCCATTGATCAAAATCTTGGATCGGCCAGAAACTATGTATACTGCGTTGTCTAGATACTGTCAATGTGCCATTGTGACTGTTTTTTCCGGCATACGTCAGCAAGTAGAACTTTTTCTATTTTCATCAGCAGCCCAAGCACAATGACATATACATACCGACGGGATCTCTGCCAACATGTGGTGTATGACATCGTGCCACTATGTACGCGTATACAGATTGTACGCATCATCCTATCCGGCACAAATATCATATGCGGAGACACTGCACATATGTGTTATATACAGATCATAGTATACATTATATTTATTCATTCTATACCTAAAATAGTTTATATAAATGTACTATGTATTAATATAGTTATTTATACGTGTATATATATACGTATATACTATGCAGTACATCCGTTCACAGTATGTATGTATGTATGTATGTATGTATGTATGTATGTATGTATGTATGTATGTATGTATGTATGTATGTATGTATGTATGTATGTATGTATGTATGTATGTATGTATGTATGTAGTATGTATGTATGTATGTATGTATGTATGTATGTATGTATGTATGTATGTATGTATGTATGTATGTATGTATGTATGTAGTGTATGTAGTGTATGTAGTGTATGTAGTGTATGTAGTGTATGTATGTATGTATGTATGTATGTATGTATGTATGTATGTATGTATGTATGTATGTATGTATGTATGTATGACTGTCTGTCTGTCTGTCTGACTGTCTGTCTGTCTGACTGTCCGTCTGACTGTCCGTCTGTCTGTATGTATGTATGCATGTATGTATGTATGTATGTATGTATGACTGTCTGTCTGTCTGTCTGACTGTCCGTCTGACTGTCCGTCTGTCTGTATGTATGCATGTATGCATGTATGTATATATGTTTTTGTTTTTGTTTTTGTTTTTTAATGAATGTATGCATGTATGCATGTATGTTTTTGTTTAATACATGTATGCATGCATGTATGTTTGGATGGATGGATGGATGGATGGACATGTGTATATCAACCCCGGGAATTTAAACCAAGCATCCCAATTGCCCGCGCGCTCGCAAACGCCCAATGCCACACTGAGGGATGTAGCCTGTTGTTTGCTGTGGGGAATCACCATTTCCAATGGGTATCTAGTCTAGATTAATGCCAACACCGGTTTATTAATCTGAGGGGACCACCTGTTTTTAAATTACATTTTTTTGGGGGGGGCAATGGTGGTTGATTAATCGGGAGAGGATTATTAATCCTCACTTGACATTATCTATAAATGGACCATGTTCCATAGCTATGTTAAGAGGGCAAGACAAGCATGAAATTCGCCTGTGGATGCCTGTGGTAATCTAGCCATGGAAAATGCTAGTGGACACAATCGGCAAATCAATGTAAATCATCTACTTTCATGGCCAATTTTACATGGCTATGTAACAGTCATTACCAGCTCGTAAGTTTATTGAAAATCCCATCAATGAAATGTGCTACTCTCCATAAACCCTAGTAAATTCTGATAAATTACTTCCAATTCTATTCAGAATTCACATACTCTCTGGTAAACGTTTACATAACTATGAAAAGTCACCATTTAGTTCGTGGATGAATCAACTATTTCGACTGGGCCATTTTCAATAGCGATGTAACAAATTACCAGAGGGTATGTTTGTTGCCTTAAATCCCCAAGTTTAGATCATCAAATTCATGAAATTCGGCATCCGGCCAGAAAGCTCCCACGGAAAAAGTCCCCAGGCATCCCACCGTGAAATTCGCCAAGAATACGGCTGTAGGCTGTTGAAAAAAGGCAGGGTACCATAAAAAATCTGTATCAGATGAAATGACCATTGGAGGAGTACCCCCCCAAAAAAACATGGTTTAGTCTCATCCAGGGTTGACATTTTGCAAGTTGTTGAAATCAGGTCCCAGCCAGTTGATCTAACTTCGCGAAATTCAGCGATCGTCGATGCCGAAACATCAGCGAAGCTCCCAGAAAGTGCAGTAGGATGGCTATATTCCTCCATTGGCTGCAACTTAACCATACCATACCCATGAATTGACCCAACTTAACTTGACCCAGGGTTCACCCAGCTAAACCTGCCTCTGTTTGGACCTGAAGCTCTTCCATGTTGGAAAGGATCTGGAAGGCGTATTGCCAGTCATCTGCGGCGACAGGGGTGCCACTACACGACAAGGGTAGAAGGTTAGGTCCACTGCTGTCATGGGCCTCGGATAGTAAGCGATTGTGCAGTTCTATACCCAACGTTGTAATGTGAAACCACCATCAAAATGATGGTTCTTTATACTCTCTGGTAGTTTGTTACATAACTATTGAAGCCATGGCCCAGTCGAAATAGTTGATTTACCCACTCAACATGGTGGATCTTTCCAGTTCGTTATGTAAACGTTTACCAGAGGGTAGCTCCCATTAAACCCCATTGAATCCCATTAAACCAAACCACCATAAAATCCCATTAAATCCCATTAAACCACCATTAAACCACCATTAAACCACCATGTTGCTTTTGTTGAAATCACGGTATCGTTTTGAGTCAACTTAACCCTTCAGATGGTTGAAACGGAGGTTGATCTTCCACTGGGACATCCAATGGACTATGACAGCCTTGCATGTTTCTTGATTTTATCCAGATATGTCCCGGTGTTACACATGCATGTATATATATATATACACACTGTATTTGTATCATTTAGAGTTTTATCCGCCGACCCCTGCCTAGCCTTGGCCTAGGCGGGGCGGCGCCCGGGATCACCGTAGGTGTGCAGCATGGCTCGTGCCGGCTTTGCCATTGCCATGGCATATTGTATGCTTTCCGCAATTCCAAAACCCTCCAAACCAGCACCACTTGCCATCGCACAACCCTCCGCTTGCTTTGCCATCGTACCTCCCCATCGGAGGTACAAACTGTTTCTTTTGGGAAGCCTCAGCACCGCACAACCCTCCGCTTGCTTTGCCATCGTACCTCCCCATAGGCCCTTCAAACTGTTTCTATTGGGCTTCGAAGCCGCTTGCTTTGCCATCGTACCTCCCCATAGGCCCTTCAAACTGTTTCTATTGGGCTTCGAAACTGCTACATGGCACGTTTTGGCCAGGCCTTAAAAGCCCCAAAAGCCCCGCAGCAGCTTTCGAAAGCCTCAGCACCGCACAACCCTCCGCTTGCTTTGCCATCGTACCTCCCCATAAGCCCTTCAAACTGTTTCTATTGGGCTTCGAAACTGCTACATGGCACGCTTTGGCCAGGCCTTAAAACCCTCAAAAGTCCCGCAGCAGCTTTCGAAAGCCTCAGCACCGCACAACCCTCCGCTTGCTTTGCCATCGTACCTCCCCATAGGCCCTACAAACTGTTTCTATTGGGCTTCGAAACTGCTACATGGCACGTTTTCAGGCCTTAAAACCTTCAAAAGCCCCGCAGCAGCTTTCGAAAGGCCCTCAGCGCACAACCCTCCGCTTGCTTGCCATCGTACCTTCATTTCAAACTGTTTCATTGGGCTTCGAAACTGCTACATGGCACGTTTTGGCCAGGCCTTAAAACCCTCAAAAGTCCCGCAGCAGCTTTCGAAAGCTTCAGCACCGCACAACCCTCCGCTTGCTTTGCCATCGTACCTCCCCATAGGCCCTCAAACTGTTTCTATTGGGCTTCGAAACTGCTACATGGCACGTTTTGGCCAGGCCTTAAAACCTTCAAAAGCCCCCGCAGCAGCTTTCGAAAGCCTCAGCACCGCACAACCCTCCGCTTGCTTTGCCATCGTACCTCCCATAAGCCCTTCAAACTGTTTCTATTGGGCTTCGAAACTGCTACATGGCACGTTTTGGCCAGGCCTTAAAACCTTCAAAAGTCCCGCAGCAGCTTTCGAAAGCCTCAGCACCGCACAACCCTCCGCTTGCTTTGCCATCGTACCTCCCCATAGGCCCTACAAACTGTTTCTATTGGGCTTCGAAACTGCTACATGGCACGTTTTGGCCAGGCCTTAACACCTTCAAAAGTCCCGCAGCAGCTTTCGAAAGCCTCAGCACCGCACAACCCTCCGCTTGCTTTGCCATCGTACCTCCCCATAGGCCCTACAAACTGTTTCTATTGGGCTTCGAAACTGCTACATGGCACGTTTTGGCCAGGCCTTAAAACCTTCAAAAGTCCCGCAGCAGCTTTCGAAAGCCTCAGCACCGCACAACCCTCCGCTTGCTTTGCCATCGTACCTCCCCATAGGCCCTACAAACTGTTTCTTTGCGGCTTCGAAACTGCTACATGGCACGTTTTGGCCAGGCCTTAAACCCCTCAAAAGTCCCGCAGCAGCTTTCGAAAGCCTCAGCACCGCACAACCCTCCGCTTGCTTTGCCATCGTACCTCCCCATAAGCCCTTCAAACTGTTCTAGTTCTACCTTCCCCATTCCCAATAGCCGTCCCTACTTTTGCCCGTTTTAGATGTAAAATCTTCAGAAAATGATGCGGGGGACCACCAACGCCTGAGAATAGCAAAGTGGACATCACTCAAGGAAATGCATGTTTTCTTCCCGTTGCAGATGATAGGTGCAATAGCAACGACAAGGAATCGAAAGATGGAAAAAGCTTCCACTAACATTGAATGGGCAAACTTATCCAAGTTCCCTTTACATCTTTACAGAAACAACGCCTCTATTCCGAAAATGCGTAAAGTTCCAGGCAGGCATTTTTCATTGCAAAAGTTCTTGAACCTATCGTGGCCCTGTAGACAGGTCTGAAAACCGTTTCAAAACGTTTCAGCAAATTCAGAAGGATTCCACTTTCTGAGACTGATGCCTGCAGTGAGAACGATTCTTGGCATGAGAACGATGTCTGAGTCCAGTGCGTTAGTTTTTGGACATCATTCTCAGCATGCGTGTCTATCTGCACATCCAGCCTACCTTTCCCTACCCTGTGTGGAACCCTACCGGCCCACTACGTCCAGGTTCTGTGTCGCGCGGTTTTTTTTCTCAAAAATTTGAAGGGTAGGGTTTCAGAGAGAACGTTGCGAAACACTGAAAGGTATGCTTTAAGTCGCTATCTTCCCCATTCGCATTTTTTCCCAACCCTTCAGATTTTCGCGAAAAAAGTTCGCAGCAGTTGTTTCACACAAACCGACTGACATGCTGAGTACGATTCCAACAGCGTGAGAACGATCCCGTACACCAATGCGCTTGAGAACGATGAATGTCATGAGAACGATTATTCCTAACCCCAATGCGATGAGAACGATTCCAGAAACCAATGCGATGAGAACGATTCCAAAACCTCATGAGGTGAGAAACATGGCTGCTGTGAGAACGATTCCTTCGTCCAACGATACTGAGACAGATTTCGAAACGGGCAACGAAGGCACAACCCGAGGAATTTCCATGGCCAGCAAAGCCCAAACTACAGGCAATGATAAAGAGCCCTTTTTATAGGTTTCAAATTGAATGAATTGAGTCCATCGAAAGTTTACTAAAATTTACTTTACACCATACACCCCACTTGTGCAACAAAATGCCTGCGGAGCATCACAACTCATACACCTGGATCAGCAAGGGCGTGCCAGTCAAACCATCTTTTTTTTTGTGTTGCATCGATTTCAGGACCTAGAGTAGGATCGTTTTGAAGCATGCGAATGTCAGAAAAGAATGGGAGAGCCAATGTTAGAACTGTTTCTATTGGGCTTCGAAACTGCTACATGGCACGTTTGGCCAGGCCTTAAAACCCTCAAAAGTCCCGCAGCAGCTTTCGAAAGCCTCAGCACCGCACAACCCTCCGCTTGCACATCACAAGTAAGGGCTGCAAAATATCGTTGCTCAATGAAATTCAATCATCCAAAGGGCCAAGTTTGATCTAAATTCTGACTCTTCCTCCTGCCCTCGGACATGTTTTTCGCTTGGGCCCATGTTTTTTTCTTTCCATTTCACAAACCAACTTATTACGAATGTGCCTTTTTCCTTGCGAAGCCTACGACTCACGCAAGGGTGGTCAGACACAACATCCTAAAAAGAAATGGAAAGAAAACACCATGAGCACAATCCAACAATTCCTTGCCAAACAACCACCCGCGACACAATGAACATTCGTTCAACTCCACAAAGTGAAGATGCCCTTATGATAATGTCACTTATTGTGAGTTCACCCAAACTCGAAAACAGCTACCCAAACAGCTACCCCCCTACTTCACATGGCACGCACCTGAATGGACATGCTCCCTGTCACTGCCATAGGCTCCGACGGCTCCATAACCATGGCCCTCCAAATGGGGGTCGGCGGCACCAGGGCGTTAGCCCATTTATAACTACAAAATAATCATTATAATATCACAGGTAATTGTACCATCTGGTTATTTAACATAGCCATGGAAAATGGTTCATTTATAGATGGTTTACCTGGGTTCACCTATCAAAAGTGGTGATTTTGATCCATGGCTATGTTAGTCATGACCAGAGGGTATATCTTGTACCATCCTCTGTCTCAGTGTCGCAAAGGGATCCACCATGGATCCACCTGGCAAGGCTTCCAGCGTCGCATGGAAGCTGAAGGCACCCAAGCGCACAGTGCGTCCACACATCCAGCACATCAGCTCCTGGCCGGCGCCATGGGTCACAGAGAGTTTGGAGAAAATGGATGATACTTGCCAATTATGTATCTGATTGTATCTCTGTATCTAGTATGTATGAATGTAAAATGATGTCTTGCAATTATGTATCTGATTGCATCTGATTGTATCTGCGTATCTAGTATGTGTGTATGAATATATGATAATGTATGTGTATATGTATGCATGCACGGGATATTCCCTCTGATGAATAATCAATGAATACATGGATTGTAACCATTTGCTAAGTGGTTATGACCTCTAATCTTCATCCTTGTTGCTGGCACCGTGGCTGGTTGTTACCAGTCTCCCAAGTGGACTGAACCGGTTGCAACAACGCTGATCACTGGGATGATCCAATTGAAATCCTATCCGAGAAGCGCCTGGTTGCTAGGCAGGTGGGGAGGGCAACACTGTTCTTGCATACAATTCTTTAGAGATAATTTTTAGATACATAAACAGTATATGTCATAGTTTATTCATGTTATATAAATGTGTAATGTCCTCTTCTGAAACATTGGAACGACGCTTTCAACTTTATCGTCTTCTATATCATATACTACGTTGGAATATGTTTTGTACATTAATCATGCTGTATACTGGCCCCATAGATAGCTGTTGCAAATGAACGCGATCAGAAAGTGGAGATCCATGGATGAAGAGTTTCTTGGTTCCCGGTGTCAGACTCGTTCATATGAAAGGTATTCGGACAATATCAACAGCAAAAACAAAAGTACCCCAAACAACTGTTTCCAAAGGCAACAAAATGTTACGCAATGCCACACACACACAAATATATATAGATGTGCGTTGATGAATAAGCGCGATGATGAACAAAATGATGAAAAAGCAGTGGTCAAACACATTACTTTCTTCAAGTGATCCCTACCAACTGAGATTCTATCTGACGTATATATATATATATATAGTTAAGAATATGTGTGTATATATATATATAACTATATAAAATCATAATATATATATATATAGTTATAATATGTGTATATATATATATATATTTATAATATGCCTGTATATATATATATAATACTTATGTGTTCATATATATATATAACGCTATATATATATATTCTGGCATTCTACTGGACATATACACATTCTATATCACATTTACTCAAGCATCTTACCTGACCTTCTGTCTGACACTCAATCTGACATACGTTGTTACATACATATATTCTGAAATTCTACTTGATGTACAGGCCGACACACTATCTGACTTCTATCTGGCATTTTGCCTCACATATAGTCTTCCGACATATAATTTGACAAATTTGACATATATTCTGACATTCTATCTGACATTTTCTGATTTAAGGCAGGACACAACACGATAAGCAAACAAAAACGCATTGCATCCCAAAACACAACCAGAATGAGGACATGTGGCACCCTCCCAACGCATGTTTTTCCGACCGGGTGCATCGAATGAGGAGTGTGTGCTCAGAAACTGATCAATGGGATGCTTTTGACCCTGGAGTGCCTGGAGCTTTACAAATGTCAGTGCTGTTGTTCCCACGACATTCTATCCCCAGCCAACTCAACTGGATGTGACTCACCTACATAGAATCAAGATTCTCGGAACATCTGGTCTTCCCACTTCTGAAGTCCAGATCTGTTACAGTTACAGGATGTTGCAGATGCTTTCCAGTCATATCACTGTTCCATCCAAGGTCCGCCTTCCTGTCGCAAGCCCCCAACGCAGCCGTCCTGCGCCTCACCCCAGCGCCCGGCACCGGCACAGGCATCTGCCTTGCAGTTCATTTACCATACAAAATTCAGGATTTGGAAGTTTCCTAAAATGATTTCCCCAAAGGGACGTTTTTATAATGCAAAACCCTATAAAAATTGATGATTTGGGGGTACCCCCATGACTTAGGAAACCTATGGAAACCTCCATTAAGACAATGATAACTGGATTGATGGTGAAGATTCATCTGCAGTCAGACGGCTCCTCTTTGCAGCTTTCCCAAGCATCATTTCTGGATGGTTTCCCAGTTTTTTTTGTGGTTACACTGGCAATTTGGATGATGTAGCCTCCACCATATGTTTTTGAATTGTCTAAACATGGGCGAACTTCAATATGTGGCCATTTCGATGGGGAACTGTGGTAATATGGCGATTAACCATTGAATTTGGGACATCATTTTCAGAACCAATTCGGAGCTTCCAGGAACATCTGCACATAGCTCAAACATGAGGTACGACCTGCAAATGTGACCAGTTTTTCAAGATCACATTTAGGGGGCAATGTTTTTTCCAGCCATGTCCAATGTCATGCAATTTCCAAAGACCTGT